ATATGAACTACTAATTCCTACTGTAACACCTGGGCTGCGCTCACTGCCCAAAAAACCTGGCGGGCCGGATCAGACTCCTCTGCGGGCCGCATGTGGCCCGCGGGCCGTAGTTTGAAGACGCCTGCTAGACCATAGTGGTCAAACATTATTCTGGTTGTTTCTATGAGGGTGCTTTTGGATGAGATTAACATTTAAATCTGTGGACTTTGAGTGAAGTAGATTGCTCTCCACAATGTAAGTAGGCCTCCCCCATCAGCTGAAGACCTGAATAAACAAAATAACAGAGTGAATTCTGACAGCTATTCAGACTTGAGCTTTGGACCTGAGCTTCAACATCAGCTCTGCCCTGAGCCTATAGCCTGAGACCCACTCTGGTGATACTGGACTTGCAAACTCCACAGCTATGTGAGCCAATTTCTTAAAATCTCTCTCTCTTTCTCAGTTATATTATTTCTAGAAATCCCTGAATAATACAGAGTTCATTACAAAAATTCAGAAAATATTTTATGAGTTAATCAGCTAAAACAAAGGAGAAAAGGTAATATACAATTTTTATATGAAGACAATCAAGTAAAAGCATTGCGTACTGCATAGTAACAGAAAGTCTTTTGCACAAACATAATGACCAAGCCAGAGAAACTTCACTTGAAACATTCATATCCAGAGTATGTGGACATCACTATAGATTGTCTCTGACCTCTTTTCTTATGAAAAAAGAGGCCAGGATTTATTTAAAGTTCTGACTTGACTCCTTCACTCTTTTGCTTACTCCACTCCAGTAATTTCTCCTCACATTCAGGGATGTCCAAGCTTCTCAGCAGGGCCTGTAGGGCCTTCTGCTCCAGCTATCTTTCAGCTTTCTCTTCACTCCTTACAATCTGGCAATGCCAAGCCACTCAGGGGCTCTGGCGTACTTGGGCTGTTCCATGCCTTCCAGGCCTCTGCACAACCTTGTAGCACTGAGGCAGGCCAGTAAGTGGAACAGGAAGATGGAGTCAGATAGCTGAACAAGTTGGTTGATCAATTTATAGGTCACTTCCGTAGAGGAAACATTTAGGCCTCAGTTATATTTCAGTTCTAGGCCCATAAAAGCAGCAAAACCAGGTTGGCAATCCCAGGACTAGGTGCAAACTAATGAGTGACACTCCCCCTTCCCCCGCCTACCCTGGCACTGACCAATCAGTAAAGACCACAACCTTGAAAGAACACACCTGGAAAACTGATAAAAATTCAGCTAAAACTTTCCCCTGAGCCCTCTCCTAAGGTTCCCACCTGTAAGAGAGAGATAAAACCCTCAAGACAAAGAACTTAGCAGGACTCAGCGTGTGCTCTCCCTTTTCTCCCACAGGCACGCATCACCTAAACTCTAAGGATCCCCATGAGATTTGCAACCAGAGAAGCAATGGGCAGCAGCAGCTTGTCCCAGGCTTACACCCTCAACCTGTCTCCAAGGCCCCCTTTTCTCTGACTTCATGGTGAACTAAATAGCCTGGGCTCTCCTGTTGCTTCTTCTATGCTAAGCCCTCCCTTGTTTCACTGTCCCCAGCTTTAATAAACATACCCTCACAGTCACCTGAAATCATATTGTGAAATCTTTTCTATGTGAATTCAAGCACCTGCACACTACAAGACTGCCCTGGGCAGACCCAGTAGGGCCAGGTCCCCTTTTTGGTAACAGTGACCTCTCTCTCTTCCCCTGGCTGCCTCCCGAGCATCTAGGAGAACTCAGCTAAGACATTTTTTCTTCTAGAACAAGCTCCCATAATACCCAGGGTGTCGTCTTTAATGTCATATGCAGCTCATTCTAGTGCATAGTCGGTGTTTGTGGAAGGAAAGGAAAAAAATGAAAAACAAAACAAAACAAAAACACAACCTACTTTATCATTGAAAGGGGTTGCTTCAAGCAATCCAAATTCAAAGGCAGGAGGCCTCCTGCCCTGTGCTGTAATGCTTACAATAAAATACACATGTCCCCCAAATCCATTTTAAAACAGAAATAAATGATAAAAAGAATGAAGATCACAATAGCAGTAAGACAGAGAAATAAGACCTTAGGTTTGTGTGGCTTTACAGTTTATAAATTACTAGAGGCCTGCTGCATGAAATTTGTGCAGGGAAGGGAGCAGTCCCTCAGCCCAGCCTGCACCTTCTTGCAATCCGGGATCACTGGCTTCTAACTGTTCACCTGCCTGCCTGCCTAATTGCCTCTAACCACTCTGCCTGCCTCCCTGATCACCCCTAACCCCTCTGCCTGCTTGCCTACTCACCCTAACTGCCTCAGCCTCACCCTCACTGCCACAGCTTTATCCAGAAGAATGTCTGGAAGGTTGTTCAGCTGTCTAGTCTAATTAGCATATTATGTTTTATTATTATAGATAAGAAATATTACTGATGATTTATAACCTTTATTCTAAGAAAATTCAAATGGGAGCAGATCACCTAGAGATGGAAATAATGACTGATGAGGCATTGTGCCTCTCTTTTGGGAAAGTGACAGCATCTTCAATTATTTAAGGGGTATCTGTGGACCCTGCTATTGTTCCTGGAAGTTTGATATAGGGTAAAGGGTGAGAATAAATGCCAAAAAGGCAAAGGGTAGGTTTTGTCTGTTGGCTCCAAGCTCCATCTATGCCCTTCTGTGCTTTCCTGTAGTTCAGGGGAAACTGTGTTTCCTAGATGCCCTTGGCAACTAACTTCTCACTGCAGAGCATGGACGCAGTGGAGAAGCTCCACTCTCTGCTCCTCACTGGGCTCAAGAGGGATAGGGTCAGGGGCAGGGCATAGGCAGCTACAGAGGCAGGGGCAGAGGCAGAGACAGGGAGAGGCAGGGGCAGAGACAGGGGCAGGGGCAGGGGCAGGGGCAGGAGCAGTGCAGTCCATAGGCTGTCTTCCTTGCAGCACTGTTCCAATGGCAGCAGCAAGTTCTCAGCAGCCTCGGCAGGGCATGGTCTGGCTCCTTCATCCATGAGAGTGAGAATGGCTTCCTGTAGTTATAGATCTCTAACTTCACTTTTTTTCTCTTCTAGCCTTTCCTTTCCAACCCTTTGGTAACCAATTCCCAATATTAAGTTCTATCTGTTTAAAATACCTAGTGGGGGCTCTATTTCTCCACTGATGCAGGTAAACCCAGAGCCCAGCCTATTCAAAGAATACAAATAGGGAGGAGGAGGAGGGGGAGATCATTGATAGGCAAGAGGAAGAAGAAGAAGAAGAAGAAGAAGAAGAAGAAGAAGAAGAAGAAGAAGAAGAAGAAGAAGAAGGAGGAGGAGGAGGAGGAGGAGGAGGAGGAGGAGGAGGAGGAGGAGGAGGAGGAGGGGGAGAAGAAGGAGAAGAATAGGAAGGAGAAGAATAGGAAGGAGAAGAAGAAGAAGAAATCATATAATAGGATGTCAGGGACAACATGCTATGATTTATTTTTTTTTTGTTTGTTAATCCTCCCAGAGAATATTTTTCCACTGATGAGAGAGAGAGAGAGAGAGAGAGAGAGAGAGAGAGAGAGAGAGAGAGAGAGAGAGAGGTGAGAGAGACACATAAATTGCTTGTCTCCTGCATCTGCCCTGAACAGGGCTGAGGATTGAACCTGCAACCCAGGTTTGCGCCCTTGAACCTGAGATTCTTCAGTTGGCAGGTGGACACTCAAACCACTGAGCAATGCTGGCCACGGCCATGCTATGATTTCTGATGTTAGCAGTTGCAGGTGGTGATAGGCTCAGAGTACAGCCTTGGAAATAGTGGCTGAGGTGAAGTGAAAGTGTAGTTTCACTGTAATTGATGATCTTTTATTTTATTTTTTAAATATATTTTATTGATTTTTTACAGAGAGGAAGGGAGAGAGATAGAGAGCTAGAAACGTCAATGAGAGAGAAACATCGACCAGCTGCCTCTTGCACACCCCCTACCAGGGATGTGCCCACAACCAAGGTACATGCCCTTGACCGGAATCAAACCTGGGACCTTTCAGTCCGCAGACCGACACTCTACCACTGAGCCAAACCGGTTTCGGCTGATGATCTTTTAACTGGGATGTAATGGTGCTACTTGGTTCACTCAAGTGACTGTCAAAATAAGGAACAATAATTCCAGAATATGAGATAGGGAGAAGGATGAGGGTATGTCAGATTGTGCCACAGAGGCTCGGAGCAGGCACTGTGTGTGTGTGTGTGTGTGTGTGTGTGTGTGTCCACTGGGGGCCTGCCCCTAGCCTGCAGTGGTGGCTCAGAGCAGGTGCCCCTATGTCTTGTTCTCTCAGGCTTCGGGCCATGTTGAGCCCCTCCTTCTGAGCTGGTCATGACTCTTATGGAATCCTGACCTAATTTGCATATTGAGAGAGAGAGAGAGAGAGAGAGAGAGAGAGAGAGAGAGAGAGAGAGAGAGAAGTATTATTCATTTTACAGCCTGGTGAGGTAGGTGCTAATAAAATCATTTTACGTACAAAGAAATGGGGGCTCAGAGAAGTCTCTGCTTTACCCCAAGGGTCCCCAGAGAGGAAATACAAGGAGTTCTCCATTCAGTGAGAACCCCACCACTTTACAGCTTACTCAGGAGAAGACAAATAAGGCAAGTAAGATATTAATAAGAATTCACTTTTTAAATTCTATATACTCGCTGCTCTACTTTAAGAAATACATTTCTCTTAAATTAAGCAATGGTAATTAGCTTTCCAATTCCAGACCTTGTTACTTTCTTAATTTAGATGCCACTCCTAAGTCCTAACTTAGATTTATTCCTTTTAATAACATCGACAAAAGTCTATGCTTTCTAATGTGTTCCACCATTCATTGCCATAAAACTTGAGAGCCTAAGATATGTTCTATTCCATTATATGGATAAGACTCAACTCTTAGAACACGCTGGTTGAAATCCTCATTTTAAAGAAATTCCCTGCATATCTACTTGAAGTCCTTACTTTGATGCCTATTCTGTGTCCTTTGGCAACTCCCTTTGTTCCCCTAAGGTTCTATATTATTATAGAACAACCCTTTAAGGATAAGGAATGGTGTAAGTCTGTAGACCACTGGTGGTCTGTGAGGTCTGAAAGGTTGGCGACCGCTGTCTTTCTAAACATGCTGCCAGAAGTCTCACCTAATGTCTCCTTTTTATATCCAAGGGGGATGTAAGTATCTGTGTGCTGACCTGGAGGCATTCAATATTACTAAGCACCTACTATGTGTCAAATCATCAGCTAGTTGCCAAGAGTATAAAGATAAAAACCTTCCACATTCTGGGGAAACTCTAACACGTATGGGGTGAGGCAGTTTCCGCTGCAGGGGTATTATGAAACACGATGGATCTACCGTATGGAGAGAAAGATTGCAAACTCACCTGCTGGCTCCTGTTCCCAAGGACACTTTTCACTCTCCTGTCCTCTCCTAATTCCTGTGCCGGATGATCTGCCTGGGAGCATGAAATTGTCTCAGGAACTCTGGTTCTGGTTCTACCTATATGAGATTCCCTGTGACTTTGTCTTTTTGCTTGGTTCCTGCTTATTGCAAACATCTGTGACAATTTTGTCCTCTTTTGCTTAAACTAAAAGTTATGAATTCTGCCATTGAAAACCTGACAATGTCTCTGTCTTCTATCTACTCCCCTTTTGTTCCTCTCCTCAAATACAGTGTTTAAGAAAGCTATATAAATCCATTAAATCAAGATATCCATATTATTGGATGCAAATCTTCTTGCTTTCCACACTGGGTTCCCCAGCCTCTGCACCGCTTTCCTGGGGATGAGCATCACAGAACTGACCCGCGTCTCCATGGCAACGCGTCACAAAGCATCCAAGCGCCGGCAGCAAGCGATCCAGCTGGAAGAGCGCCCTGACGACTGCCTGTTGAGGTGGGAATGGCACAGCCTGGGCCGGAGGTTCCCTACCCCTCTCAATGTGGCCGCAAGAGGCCTGGTAAGACCTTGGACCCTGTCAGTTTGCCGGATAGGGAGAGATCTTTCTTAGAGATGGATACACTAAGACTGCTTTGGTCTCTAAGGGTGTCTTCTCTCCCTCATGGGTGGGACTCAATTTAAGGAGAGGCTCGGAGAGAAAATGAGAGGGTGTTCATGACTTTGCCACTATCCAACCCATCAGCATTCTTTCTGCCAATCCCTTCCTAAAATGCTCAGCATATCCCCATGAAATGCTTGGCTGGGGGATGGGGCAGGGAAAAGGAGAAACTAGTGTTTTTCCGGGGGCGGGGGGGGGGGGGGGGGGGAGGACCCAAAAGCAACGCAAGAAGAGAGGTCTGGAAGCTCTGAAGACAGCAGACCCAGCAGGAGTCCATATTCCCTGAGAAACAGTACAGAGAGCGGGGAGGTGCAGAATGCAGTGCACAGACAGCCCCCAAGGGGATCCTCAGAGGCAGGAGTTCCCCCTCCCATATTTCCCCTCCCCCCTTCCACACACGTGGTTGTAGCAGAGGCTGAGAACTATGGCCTTCAGCTGTTGCTTGTAACCTTTGCTAATTTTTCTTTCAGAGTGATTTTGTATTTAACAGATGTAGTGCTTTTAAAACTAATTTTGCATGCAAAAAGGCAAATTTACTAACTCAGCTTTTTGCATCAGTGGAGGGAGAGCCACTCTAGATGTGATGCTGGTGGCACAAATTACTGTGTAATCAGTTCCATTCTGGCCCTATGCAGCTTTCTAACTGGGTAATTGTAGTTCCAGTGGCTACAGAGCAATTGGCATTGTTCAACTGCAGATTCCCTAGAATAGTAGTTCCATGAGAATGAATGAAATCTGTTTTCCATTCCATTCAATCTCTTTTTAAATTGAGGATAAAAAATGAAAATAATTAAGAACAAAAATATGTCAGATACCCAGTTTCTATATGGTGGCAGGGCAAAGAGCAGGCACCCTTTCTAGGTTTCTTTCACTGTCTTCTCTTCCCTTCTTGTTGGGAAATGTTGCCATCCTCTAGTTAGGGGTGTCGAACTCAATCAGAGAAGGGGCCAAAATCTAAAATCCAGCCTAAATCGCGGGCCGAATGGTTTACTGTCATTGTGATGGAAACGCAGCGGAGTGCAGTGATGACAGCGCGGTGCGGGCCACATTGCAAGGCCTGGCGGGACGGATTTGGCCCGCGGGCCTTGTGTTTGACACATGTGCTCTAGATATACCCTTCTCTGTTTCCTTCCTCTCTGCGTGGCCATCCCTACCACAGGGCTTCAAGTCCACAGGCTTTCTAGTATTGACTCTAACTGGGATGTTCCTCCTACTTTTCAAACTAAAATATTCAGCTGTCTACCAGATCCATTTGGAGGTCATGAGGGTCTCAAACTCAGCATGCACAAAATTGTTATCTTGTCCTCCTAGACTTTGTGAGCTTAAGAGGGTCCCAACTGCTCAGAACAGAAGGCCAGCTTTTTGACATCTTGATTGATCACCAGGCCTCATTCATTCTGGTCCAAAGTCCTCTTCCCCTGTGTGAGTTTCTTCTTCATATTCAGACTGGGACCTCTCATAGCCACTTGTGCTACTCCATTTTCCAATATAGAAGTGGCCCCCTTCAAAAGGTGGGCCTGATGTGTCACTGCCAGCTTCGTCCCCAGGTAGCATGAGGTTGAGGATGCCTGCTATGGGCTAACTACTATTGAGCTATTACTATAGATTGAGCTCTTAAGTATTGTGTTACTTCCAAAGATGGCCATAAATTACCATAAAAGATTTGTCAACAAAAGAAATGTATTCTCTCACATTCTGTAGGCCCCAAAGCCCAAAATTAAGGTGTTGGAGAACTGTTCTTCCTCTGGTGTCTCTGGGGACAAAGCTGTCCTTGCCTCTTCCAGCCTCTGGTGGCTGTCAGCCTTGTTGTTGTTGTTTTTTTGTTTTGTTTTGTTTTTGTGTGTGTGTGTGTTTTGAGGTTCCACTCAAATGATGACTTCTTTGAAGTGCAGCACCTTCTCACAATTTCTTCCCACTTATTTGTCCATGCTTAAAATTCTCTTAACTTAGGATATTTAATTCTGCTGTTGGGATAAAATGCTTTAAAGCATAAAATGATTCTCATGAAAGCAGGAGTATCAAAGAATAAGGTCATTTCTCATAGAGTGGGATCTGAGCATGGATACCAGGAGTCTGTGTGAGCAGACATATGGAGTGTGACATGTAGGGCTAAGGCTTTAGTTGGTTGAGGAAGCTTTTAGTTGGTTGGAGATGAAACTCAACCTGTATGAAGGCAGCAGGTAAATAGTCACATGAGATCATTTGGGAGTTATTGGTCCCGCTACCTGGCTAGCTCCATGGGCCAGTTCAATTAAATACAAGCCCTGGTTGGGAGAGAGAGTGAGTGAACAATAAAAGTACACAGGTGGCAAAAATGAAATGTTTGGTCAGGACTCTAAGTTCGGCAGTGGCATACAGATTTTAAGGATATTTGAAAATTTAGGAGGTATTTGAGAAAGAGCCTTGTTAGTTGTTGTATTTAGACTGAATGACTGGGAGCTAACACACACTATGAAGTGGCTATAGTATTCTAGAAGTGAGATTACAGACCCCAGACAGTAGTTTATTCAAACATTAAAGGCCATATTTCAACCATGTTTCTCCTGAAATGTAAAAAGCAACAAGTAACTAGCCAAATATGAAGAATTAGAGGACTGAATTAAATCTATATATATAAAAGCCCAGCAACTGAATGGTGTAGTGACCAGAATGACTGGTTGACCAGTCACTATGATGTGACCATGAGGGGGCAGATGCTCAATGCAGGAGCTGCCTCCTGGTGGTCAGTGCAGGTCCACAGCGAGAGCAGCTGCTTAGAGGGCGAGTCCACAGCCGCTCAGCTGACTGTGATGAGCTGAGCAGTACTCCCACAGTGGGCTGATCCATGCAGGCCACACCGCCCTCACCCCGCTCCCCAGTGCACAAACCTGTGCACTGGGCCTCTAGTTTAAAATATATTTTCCCAAGAAATTTGGTGGTGCTTTGTTGACAATGGGCAGGTTGGCGGATAAATTCTATTGTTGCTAGTGTCTGCTGAATGGTGAATTCTCAGTCCTCATCTTCTTGGACCAGGCCAATAGCATTTGCATATGTGACCCCTTCCTCCTGTGAAAACTTTCTTCCTTTGGGGTTTAGGACATTACATGCTCCTGGTTTTTCTCTTACCTCACTGACCTCTTCTCAGTGTCCTTTCCTAGCTGCTCCTCCTCCCCATGTTGGCATGCCCCAGGCTTCATCTCCTCTAATTATGCTTCCTTCTTTGTTGATCTCAGTCACTCTCAGAGTTTTAAACAACTGTATCACAGAATCTTGCACAGACATTACAAAAAATGAACTAGAGTTACACCAGCCGAGTTTGAAGAATTTCCCATACTACACTGTTATATGACAGAGAAAAGGACACTTTGTGTAAATATGAGCACAGTTTTTAAACTTTTTTATTGAATTTATTGGGGTGACAGTTGATTATATAGATTTCAGAAGCCCATTTTTATAAACATTGGTGAAAACTAAAACCTCATACGTCAATGAAGTTATTCATGTATATATAAACCAGGATATTATTATATCATCAGGTATAAAAGTCTATAAAGAAATAGCCATGGGCTACCTAGGAGGAGGGACAGGAAGGCAGGTGATGACAAGCAGGGAGAAGGAATAAGGAGAAGGCTCCACACTGAAACCTGAAATAGAAACTTTGAGCCCCTTTGCGCATCATCATTTCATAATCATTTATAGCTTTGTCTAATGTGATGTATGAAAAGTTGGTCAGTAAATCAGAAATAGTGAGCATTTTAAGATGATAGAATTTCAAATTAACTTTCTGCTTTATATTTTCACATATTGCTTAAAGGTTTTAAAAAAAAGCATATATGAATTCTCAAGAAAAACAATAGACCTATTTTTATTTAGGGAGAAAATTCAGATAATTAAATTGAGCTTTGTCTCTTAGTAGAGGACACAAATTGGCTTTTATTCCTTAGACTAAAAATTACCATCCAAAATGTTTTGTCTTACAAAATTAGTTTAATTATAAAATTGGTCTGACCCATTTAAAAGTGTTTTATTTTACCATTGGCAGGTAATACCCACTGGGACTCCTATACTACCACGATGAGGACTGCATTCACGCCTAAGATAGGATCAATGCCTGCTTTAATTCGGTACATCCCTACTTGAGTTACACTTTAATTTGTTCATTTATATTCTACTAGGGGCCCAATGCATGAATTTGTGTACCTTGAAAGGAACTGTGGGCCAGGAGGCTGCAGTGGGCATAGGGTGGGTCTTGGCCCATCCTCCATGCCCTGCTGGCCCCTCCCACCATCTGCCAGCAGCCCTGTTCCCATTGCTCCGGCACTGGCCCCACTCGCATCCACATCCGCTGAAGGCATGGAGTGATTGGAGCTGGCGCCAGCAGCAGTGCAAGTGGGCTTGGCACTATCGGTGTGAGCAGCAGCTGCTGCCCTGATCACCCCTCAGAAGGATGGGGAGGTGGAGAAGCCTTCCAGGGTTATAGGGGCCAGCAGCCATTGCTTGCACCCACTGATAGCACCAAGCAATTGGGACTGGCACCAGCATTGGCAGCGGGTGCGAGCAGTGGTTCCAGTGCCAGCTGTGGGTATGAGTGGGGCGATCGCTGGCAGTGGGTGTGATAGGCAGCTGCAAATCCCGATCTCCCCTTAGGGGGTAGAGAAGCCCTGAGGAGTGATAGGGGCTGGCAGCTGCTGCTCACACCCACTGACAGCACTGGGCACTGGCAGTAGGTGCAAGTGGCAGCTCTAGTGCTGGCAGCAGGTGCAAGTGCTGGCCAGGACCGTGGCACACGAGAGCAAAGAATTTTCAGTAACTACCAGAGGCTCACCCTGATGACAGAGACCAGTGCCCCACCTTGTTCTGGTGCCCCCCCACTCACCTACTCCACCATACCACCAGGGCCAACACTCACCATGTTCCACACGTGTCTCTCCTGGTGGTCAGCACACATCATAGTGACAGGTTGTTCAGTTGTTCTGGTTGTTCCGCCGTTCCATCTATTTGCATGTTAGCCTTTTATTATATAGGATTATTCAGAATTCAAAACAAATAGCAAGACTAACCAGAGAGCTCTTATGAAAAGTGCACTCAAGTAGGACCTACTGCATGCACAGTTCTCCAAGCACCAGAGAGCGAGAGTCCTCCTTCAAACAGTGTCCAAACTCCTACAGAAAAACTAAGAAAAGGGACCCATAGGTTCTTCATCAAGTTACTGTGTGTCATAGCTTACAACAGAGGCATAAGTGTTCTAATAGAATTGTGCTGCCTAAACACTGAGAATGAATTGAATCCATTACATGATTCATAGTAGGCAGGCAATGACAACTGAATGAATGGATGAATAACTGATTGTTAGCATTTCTATCAACACTAGTGCCATAGTCCCCTTACTCTTACCCATACTCTTCCAATTTTTGCTTCCTAAAGCAATGTTGGCTGGCAACTTCTTCAATTTCACCTGAATCATGAGTGGGGTAATTTCCAACTTCACTGCTGCCTTTCTGAGCTCACTGGTGGATGAGAGAGAATGGTACTAGAAAAACCCTGGCATCTTTCATGGCATCAGTGGCAGGTGGGAAATTAACAAGGGGATCCTTGACTTGCCTGTGTTTACTCTGTGAATTGTTTTTTATAAAGAGGATCTTTTCACCTTAAAAGTTCAAATTATTGAGAAGTCAGATGGAGTATTGGCAAAACCACGGTTGTGGAGTCAGGCAGAAATGAATTCTAATCTCAGTTCCCTGCTCTAACTTGTATTATCTCCACTACCGGAGGCAAGTAACAAGCCATGGTGGCTCAATGTTATGGTTGGTGGTGGTTCAGAGAACAGAATGACAGAATGAAAGCACTAGCACAGTGACTAGAGTGAAGAGTTCCTCAGGGCTCCAAGATTTGACTTCTCTGAGTTATTGGCAATCCTGCTGAGTCCCATTAGGTCCCTTCCATCATGTCCCTTCCCTGGGAGATTTATCCTCTGGCAGTAATGATTCTTCCAGTTTCCCAGATAGTAGCAGTTGTCTAAAGAAAAAATACTTGGGATGAAAGCCAAAAACAAATGGGTACTAATGCAGTCTAGGTCAGTGGGCCTCACTCAAAATGAAATGTTTACGTTAAAAGAAAAGTTTTCATCATACACTTAAATAGTTACAATGAAAAGTCAAGCCCATCCTAAATATTGACATTAAAAAAACTGTTAACTAATTTCTTTGAATATAATCAGCAGATAATCTAAACACTTTAGCAGATTGATATGCACAATATGATCCTTTTTTAAAATATGATCCTTTTAAACAATGAGCAAACAAGCTCTTCTTTCATAGATAATTGATTTCATTAATTTTCCTTCTTGAACTTTTATTCCCACTCTATTTCCTCCATAGAATTTACCCTGCTGTAATATATTTTGGTTTAAAATCAATTTATTGATCACTTCATTATACTTCCTGGCAACTATCTATAATAATAATAGAGGAATATACAAATTGTCCATGACACCATCACAGTAAATAGTTAACGACCAAACAGCAGCAAGCTGCGTGGGGTGACCAGGCCAGCAGGGGACACAGTTGGGGGCAACCAGGCTGCCGGGGGGGTGGGGGGGGGGGGGGGGGGGGGTGGGCAGTAAGGGGTGACCAGGCCAGTGAGGGGCGACAAGGCTGATGGGGGGCAGTTAGGGGTAACCAGGCCAACAGAGGGGGTCAGTTGAAGGTGACCAGGCCACAGAGGGGCCAGTAAGGGGGAAACCAGGCCAGCGGGAGGAGGGGGTAGTTATGGGCCACCAGGCAGGTAGACAGGTGAGTTGTTAGGAGCCAGCTGTCCCAGATTATAGAGAGTGCAGGCTGGGCTGAGAGGAAACCCCACCCCCCCTAAATGGATTTCATGCATCGGACCTTTAGTTTTAGTATATTAATTGAAATTAATTTTTAAACATGTTGTGTTACCCTAACTTTTGAGTCATCACAATTATTTTTAGTATACACTTGCTGAAAGTAATACATACATTACAAATGTTAATAATTACTAAATACAAAAATAAATTTAAAAATTTTTAAATATAAAAGTAAGTACATCTTAAATAAAGGGGGTTATTTTGTTTTCAATTAGTTTAAATATATAGTTTTATGTGCTACTACTTTTGGAGTGATATTGCATTCAGCATTAATTTTTTACTGCTTTGAAAAAAATTTATTTTAATTTGTAGATGCTAGTGTTGAGAAAACTTGTTCACATAAGTAGACATGTCATTTACACTCTAAACTCTCAGTTATATTTTTAATGATTGATTGACTAATATCATGAGTGGTACTCATTCAATTTTATATATTTTATTGATTTTTTTTATAGAGAGGAAGAGAGAGGGATAGAGAGTTAGAAACATAGATGAGAGAGAGTCACTGATCAGCTGCCTTCTACATACCCCCCACTGGGGATGTGCCCGCAACCAAGGTACATGCCCTTGACTGGAATCGAACCCGGGACCTTTTAGTCCACAGGCTGATGCTCTATCCACTGAGCCAAACCGGTTTCGGCCTCATTCAATTTTATTGAAAGCAAATAATTAGGTGGTTTGCCAAATACCTGTATCCCACTTTCTAGATGTTTGGTTTCTTATGGACATAATATGAATCTAACCTAGCCCTGTTTTTGAAAAACAGTCAATGTGAAATATTTCAGATATATACAATAAATCAGCTATCACCCATCTTCAATAATCAAGAACACATGAATACTTTTTATGTGCACCCTCCACCCAGCCTTTCCCCTGGGTAATGTTGAAGTAAATTCTAGACAGCATATATCATTTTACTTCTAAATAATTCTTATGTATCTCATAATTTTAAAAATATGTAACAATACTATTATCTCACCTAAATTTTTTAAATATCAAATACTAGTATAGCCAATCAAGTTTCTCCAATTGTGTCAGAATTAAAAAAAAAGTTGGCTTGAAATTGAATTCAAATATGATCTACATTTTCCATTTGGTTATTATATCTGTTTATCATTTAATCTACAGATTTCTCCTCTTTTTTCCCTTGAAGTTTTCTTTGTTGAAGAAATGGATTATTTTTCTGCATTTTTCTGATTTTATTCACATTGTGTGTTAAAATATTCATTGTTTCATGTATTTTCTGTTATCTGACATTCCAAAAACTTCATCAGACTCAGGTTGAATATTTTATCAAAAATACGTAATGGGTAGTATTGTATATGTCCATCCAGCACGTCATACCTGGTGGTTCCTCTTTTTGAACTGTGAATGAAAATTGCTGTTCATCACCGGAGTGCATTATTTAACCAGGGACTTGAAAACCAGTGTTATCCTAACGCTTAGATTTCTTCCTTTTCCTAACTGGAATACATCTATAGAGAGAAACTTTTCTTCACTGACTCTTTGGTGACACAGAAGTACAGTTTTTACAGGAGGGTACTCAGCTCTTTAAAAAATGAATTAAAATTAATGAATTTCCAATTGTATTCTTTTTAATTCTCATTTTAGTCCTCTCATAGATTCATCCTAAGATGAAGGATTGTTTCTCTTCAGGGAATCTGGAAATTCAATGATTTCTGGTCCTTAGTTTATTTTTATTTTATTTACTGTGCCATCTTTTTAAAAATGAAATCTATTGGGGTGACATTGGTCAACATGAACATATAGTTTTCAGGTGTGGGTTTCTATGTTATATGACTTGTATACACAACCATGTGCTCACCACCCAAAGTCAGATCTTCTCCTGTCACCTTATATTATAATAGTATCTCCTATATCCCACCCCCTTCCCTCTGGCAACCACCACACTGCTGTTTGTGTTCATGAGTTTCAGTTTTATATCTGACATATGAGTGAAATCATATGTCTTAGCTTTTTCAGACTGGCTTATTTCACTTAGCATAATGTTCTCAAGGTCCATCCATGTTGTTGCACATGCTGTTATTTCATTCTTTCTTATATCTGAGTAGTATTCCCTTGTGTATATGCACCACATCTTCTTTATCCAGACCTCTATTGCAGGACACTTTGGTTGTTTCCATGTCTTGGTCACTGTGAATAATGCTGCAATAAACATAAATATTTGTGAATACATGATTTCAAGGTTTTTGGTTATATACCCAGGAGAGGGATTGC